AGAGAGAGAGAGAGAGAGAGAGAGAGCTGGTGCAAGTGACCTTCCTTATAATATAATTAAGGGCTACCCGTGGACCACCTTCTGCTCCCGGCCTCTTCTCGTCATAGTTTGTGACCTTGAACCCAGAGAGATACGTCATCCGAACAATTGTCGGAGATGTCATCTGGTCGCAATTTATCATTTCGACAACAAAGCCAGAGAAATATATTTTTAACAACATAACGTTAGGTACAGGGTTGAATAAACTTTCAGAAAAAAAGATACATTAACAAATTTTGTAGCTGCAAGGTTGTTTTTTTGGTTTATTTTTTGTATAGGCATGGCGATTCTTTACCTTGCGTAGACAGAAAGGTAATGACAATATTTGATGGAGAGAGATAGATAGATAGATGGAGAGAGAGAGAGAGAGAGAGAGAGAGAGAGAGAGAGAGAGAAAGAGAGAGATAGATGGAGAGAGAGATATAGAGATAGAAAGAGTGAGAGGTGGGGGGAGAGAGAAAGAGACACAGAGAGAAACAGAGCGAGAAAGTGAAAGAAAGTGAGAGCGAGAAGGAAGTTCGCTTTAGGGCTGGTGGGGCACCTGAGGTCTATTTTGGCTATTGCAGGGCCTAGAGTGCCGATATTTGCTGAGGGACATCGTGTGTTATTGGGGATTTAAAATCAATAGTTCAAAAAGTATATTGTGAATCGGTTACTATGGAAACGGCGGCCATATTGGATTTTTTATATCATTTTCAATCCTTTTTTATTTACCTTATTTATTGACTTATTCACCTCTAATTTGGCATGCGAACAGTTAATATGTAACTCTTAAATTTGGTTCTTTGAAATTTTGATATATGCTTTAGTTTTTATTTTATGACACTTACAATTCAGCTGTTGCAAAAAAGGTGAAAAAAAAGAAAAATTCATGCTTTCTAAGGCCATAAATCAAAAACTAATCCGTTAATAAAAAATTCAAGAAGCCTAAATTTAGAAATATGTTTTGTTGTTATCCTGTGAAAGTTACATTGAAATTGAAAAAGAAATAGAGCAGAAAAATGAGATAATGTGTGAAAAAATAGAATTGTGAGAAAACAGCTTATAAAGGTAAGAACAGGCTGGAAAACATGTGCTTTCGCAGAAAAACATGGGGAAAAACACAGCTTTAGGGTGTACCAAGGCTTACATACGTTTCTGGATATTGTTCAGGAAATGTTCAGGTACTATAATATGCAATAACCCCAATTTGCAGAATTTGACCCCAAAACCCGATTTCTAGGTGCAAAAACTTCTCTACGGTGAAAAGAGATGAGCTCATGTTTCCCACGCAGTGAACATCCGTCTATACATAGCCTCTTAATTCTGTTGGGATGCTGTTTCATCAGACAGGCAGCAACCAGTTTTTTTTTTTAGTTTGCAAATGAAACATTCAATCTTTGCCTGAGACAAGCGACTGTGTTAAAGAATTGCAGTGCCAAGCGATCAGTCTCATTTCTCCAAACAGACAACGTCGAAATCGAAACAGAAAACGTAATTTGATGATATCTTTTTGTCTCTTATAGTCTTGAACGAAACGAAGAATCGAAGATGCCAAAAAAGAACGATATCAAAGCAAGAGAACGTAATTCTCCCAAACAAGACTTGCCTTCAATGAACAGACCACTACAGAAGTGTTTTGCTAGAACCAGATCTCTGTCTGTCTCGCCTTTGAAATCATTCTGGCTCATTATCACACGCACACACACTTCCAATCTGAACGACCAAAGATTACGCGTCGTTTCGGTGTTTATGAAGAAAGCTGAGAAGTCACAGATTCCTGATTTGTTGGTTGGAAGCTTATAGCCAATCACCGAGATGCTTTGGACGCTTTCATCCAATCAACGATCAGGCCAGCCCAGGATTTCTTTTTGGTACTCTAATTATTATGTTGAGATTAAAAGTACGCAAGTTTATTGTGATCAGTGGGTTTGAACAGGTAGATTTTAATGTAATGACAATAATAATTGCAATTATAGAGTGTATTCCCATGCTCTAAAGTATGCTCTATGTGCTTAACAACTCTTTTTACTCCCAGCAGACCCCCAGAGAACACTCAGAAACATTGTTGACGTCCCGTAGGATTACAATGCAAGCTGCGGACTTTACACACTCAAAAACAAACAAAATGACAAGATCTTTCACTGTCTATTTAGCCGGGTTCCAATTTCCACCTGGATGAAACTAGGAAAATTCGTGCAAGGTGCTTTTCCCAACGACACAACGTCTGGCCCCTGACGGGATTCGAACCCTCGACCTTACGGTTGCGAGTCCGAGAGCCTGACCACAAGGCCACTGACGCCACTCAGCTGCTACAGTTGTTTGCACGTCGGATTTCCTTGGCTCGTATGGCAATATGAAGATCTACTGACCACAGTGAAGAGACGAAAACTAAAATAGTATGGGCATGTCACAAGATCCACAGGACTTGCCAAAACAATCCTGCAAGGAACCGTACAAGGAAAGAGAAAGAGAGGAAGGCAGAGAAGGAGATGGGAGGACAACATTACAGAGTGGACAGGAAAGACGATGGGTGACAATCTGAGGAGAGCAGAGAACAAACATAGATGGCCAGAGCTAGTTTTCCAATGCAGTGGTGCCCTAACGGTTGCCACAACCACGGGATAGAAGAAGAAGAAGATGGTAACCCGAGTAACACAGAAAGGTATGTTGAACTTTCCCAAAAACCAAGACATTAAGACTTGTATGATCATACCCTAGTAAACAAAGCGAGGAGGACACAAAGTGAGAGGATTGACGTGTAGAGGGGGAGCAGAAGGAGGAGGAGGAGGAGGGGGAAGAGGAGGAGGAGATGTAAATAAAAAAGAGAAGGTAGAGGAGAAGTGGGTGAAAGCAAGACGGGACAAAAACAACGAATTTGTAGAAGAAGGCAGGGAAAAGAAAGAGAAGGATGACGAAGAACAGGTAACAGAGAGGGGGGTGGTGGACTATTTTGAGAATATCGGTACAACAACGTCCATAATTTGGCTAAAAGAAAAGAGACAAGAAAAGCAGAAACTCTGAAACAGTTGAGAGAATGGACCACACCAGAGCATCCACCGACACGACTAACCAAAGGCTCGAAGTAAGTAAGGAGACTTACCTTGAACTCTTTTTCCACTTCCGCTAATTTCATCATTTCCTGGCGCAGTTCAAACGTTGTCATGATAGGGTCAGGGCTAGACAGGGCCATGTACGCCGGACTCGCCAGCGCCCGGTACGCGTTTAGCCGTGACCTTGACCTCTTGAGCGAGTCATAATTCTGCTTAGTCACGCAGTCCTGACACTTACAAGAGATCGGATGCGGCTTTTCGATGGTGTGGTTCCTGGAAAGAAACATCTGAATGATTTCGTGGTTGTTGTAGTGAGCTGCCAGAATCAGAGGGGTGATGTCGGGAGGGAACTGAGACTTCTCCTCTAGTCGGAAGAAGGCGTCCCCACCGCCCATTCGACGGAGCTTATCCTCGCCCGCCATGAAGTTCGGATGCTCGATGATGATCTTCACGATCTTCGTCCCGCCTTTGGAGATGGCGTGGAGCAGCGCCTCTTCGATGCAGTTGAAGCTGAGGTTGTCCAGGAGGATCTCGATGACGTCCAGCTTCTCCGAGTCGATGGCCAGGTGTAAGGCGTTCCGACCCATGTAGTCCACGCAGTTAACGTTGAGGGAGGACTCCAGAGAGTCTTCCAGAGACTGGCGCACGATGCCCACATCTCCCAGGTAGGCGGCGTTGAGGAACACTCGTTCTTCGTCTGTGAGCTGAGGAGAAAAGAGAATCTCAGAGTGTTATTGACCATTCAGAAGGCGTTCGTTCTACAAACAGGTAGTTGAACAATCATGCGAAGAGTTTCAGAGTTTCTCGAGGGAAAGGGTGGCCTTAAAAATGTAACCAGATTCTCATAAAACGCAATCTGCCCCCACCCCCTTTTTCTCTCCCCGACCCCGACCCCCCCCCCCAAACACACACAATAGGAATGCAACTAGCAGGCCTTCTATTATCTATACATATTATATTTGTGAAAATTCGTCACTTTCGCCGCCTAAAACTTCCGAACAACTGATTTTTCGAATTTAACAAAGTTAATGGTGGTTCAGAAGGTGCACAGTTTTTATTGAGGAGCCTGAAGTCACGGTAGTTTAATTTTCAGTTTTTCATTAGTTTCCTTTAGATCTGATCTTGGGAAAGTCCGTCTTCTAAGACGCTATTGTAAAAAAGTGAGGTTTCCGTTCACTGGACGTGTGCAGTGTTTCCACAATGTCGTGATGATCGACGATTATTTTTTAAAGTACGTTCATCGAACGTGTACCCAGCTAGTATTGCATGTGCATGACACGTTTCATATAGGGAAAATGCACGTCTACAGTCATATGGAAAAGAGTTATGTTTCCAAGGATGATGCATTGCTGTAATATTTATTCTAAACACTACCATAAACGCTTGCCAAACTAAAGCAATGTGATAACTACAGCAATTGTTTTATTTTAAGACTATAAAAATTAAGGATACAGCTTAGGATAGCATAAGAATAGCGTACGTGATGGGTGGGAGAAACAAGTACGCGTCAGACAAATCGCTTAGTGAAAAAAAACACGTTCTGAACCTGTAGATTCCGCAGATTGGAACACTTTTTAAATCGTTAAATAACACTATAATTCGTCTTGATATTTCAATCATTTAATGACAAAAACAATTCTGGAGAAACAAACAGTGCGATGAGACATTATCGTTCCAAGACCTACTAATTACGATACATTCACGTACTACAGGTGACCCAATTACTTTCTTTACATTTTTCTTTTCACCTGCCAGCCCAGTCTGTTTCCTTTGCGACAATTTATTACTCCTGTGCCCAAACAGTTTCTGTTCCATTCTAATGTGATGTGAAAAGTGTAAGGTTTTATCAGAGAAAAAGCTGGATAATATAGAGTAGCAGGAAAGGATGCAAAGAAACACAATTAAAGCCAGCATTAAAAAAAACAAAACATTTTTTTCAGAGGTGAGGTATTGAAATGTTATTACTCATTTTTAAAGCTAAGGGTCGAAAATTGATGATACATGTTAAATACGAGCTTTGAGTGGCTGTATCTTGCATCAGATCTTTGGAACTTCTTTGGTATTTGTTTTTCCAGAGTAGATCTACCACACATGTTAGTCATATAAACTAGATGGTACTTTTCAGAGAAAATGGCGAAAGTTTCTTTTTTCTGATTCTTCATTTTCTCAAAATAGCATTTGACATGTTCGGAAAAAAGTTGTAAGTCTTGCACGCTTTTCAATAAAATTCTCCGCCCTGATCCACACATCCTAGTCTATACATGCTCGCCATGCACTGACTGTTAATTTGTGAGGTTTCGGGATAGGGATTTCCCCCTTTGTAACCCATGTATTACAGCCATCAGTGGGATATTTGTTTATTTTCAGCATCCAGCGGCTAGCGTTGAGCTTTCCTCTGTTCGTTGTTCAAGCACAATCAAGAAATGGCGTGTTCATGATCCCTTTAATGTCCGAATTTGCCCACTGCTTTTCCTGTTTGCGGGCATTAATTGCTACCTTTGATATTCTATTCAACGTGTCCTACCTGGGAGTGTTAATTCTGTTTTGAGCGTTCTCAAACCGAATCTTTTGTGTTAACTCTCTCTCTCTCTCTCTCTCTCTCTCTC